AATTAGATAAATTTAAATTTAATAATAAATATTAGAACTTATGGCTGAAAATTAAAAAAAAGTTTGTGTTAGATACACTGCTGAACAGGCTCAGGAACTTTTGTTTGCATCGCTTGATAGAGATCCATCAAGTAAAGAAGAGTCAACATCTGATAATGATGATGAAGAGGAGGAAGAAATTGTTGAAGTAACAACAGACAGTTCAGATGATATTGAGTCATCAGATGATGCTGATTTTCAAGAAGATACTCCTGCAATTTCAAAAGTAGAGAATAAATTAACATCAGTATTAGGAGCTAGATGTAGAACTCGTCGTGGAGTTAGAGGCACTAGCAGGATTTATGGCACAAATAGTCAAGGGAGATTAAGTTATGCAAATCAAGTATTAGGAAAAGTAAATACACATAATAATATAGCTAAGGAAATAAGTCCAGGTGAAACTAATTAAATAGTAGATATTGATGTGGAAGTTTTTCAATACAACAAATGTTTATAAGTGCCCAAAAAGTAATAAAATTTGGCAAAAACAAAGACTAAACAATTCTAAAAAATTTGCAGCACAAAATGTCATGAAATTAAAGCCAGGACTAACACCATATGCAATACGTATGACAGATTCCATAAATGCTGCTTTTCAACTTTTTTTTACCCCAAAAATCTTCAATATAGTTCTAACTAAATCAAATAAAGAAGATGAAATTATTTTTAAAGAAAAGTGGGCACCAATATCTGAGCCTGAACTTAATGGGTTTCTTGGACTTTTATTTTTGGCAGGTGTTTACCGTTCAGCAGGTGAAGCTACAGAGGAGCTATGGGACATTAGTGATGGCCGGCAAATTTTTTGTTCTGTAATAAGTCGTGAACGTTTTCATACCAGTTCAAGAGTTTTGAAATTTGACGACGAAGCATTTCGGTTATTAAGACGCAGCAATGATAAACTTGCACCTATTCGTGAGGTTTTTGACATTTGGGTATAAACAATTTCAAATAGTTTTAGACCATACAAAAATGTTACAGTTGATGAACAGTTGGTTCCATTTCGTGGACGTTGTTCCTTTAGACAATGTATAAAACCCAAATTATCTAAATATGGGTTAAAGCAATGGTTATTGTGTGATTCTAGTACCAGCTATGTCTTGAATGCACAAATTTATACTGGTCGTGTTCCTGGGGAGGGTCCAGAAAGAAGTCAAGGGCAAAGAGTAGTTCATGATTTAGTTGAAGTTATAAAAGGATCTGGAAGAAATGTTACAATGGACAACTTTTTCACATCAGTAACACTTGCACGAGAACTTTTGGAGAAAAAATTAAGTCTAGTTGGAACGATGCGCAAAAATAAATAAGAAATTCCTACAGAATTTTTACCTGCTCGAACACGAGAAGTCTACTCTTCAGTGTTTGGTCACCAAGAAAAATTAACTTTAGTCTCATATGTCCCAAAGAAAGGAAAGTCAGTCATTCTGCTGAGTAGCAATCATCGTGATGCAAAAAAACCACAGATAATTCTGGACTATAATTCAACAAAAGGGGGAGTAGATACTCTTGATCAAATGGTCTCTACTTTTTCTACAAAGAGAATAACCCGCAGGTAATTGTAAATATAGCAATACTCTATAAAAATTTATAAAATCTATTATTTGTCTATCTATTTTTTATAATTCTGGTGGCCTATGGTAATTTTTTACAACATCCTAGACATTTCTGCTGTTAATGCTTTTGTAGTTTGGATGCATTTAAATCCTACATGGAATAAACAGAAGACGCATCGCAGAAGATTGTTTCTAAAAGAACTCCGTAAATCTCTGCTAGTAAACCAACTCCAGTCAAGACTGATACTTCCAAATTTGTCTTTAAAGTTACACGATTTTAATTGTGAGTCACTTGCAAATATTTCGTTTAACGATCCACAAAATAACACAAAAAGTACCAATGATAAAAATAAAACAAGTGATGATAGTAACTTTTGTTTGAAAAAAAAAACAAGGTAGATGCAAGCTCTGCTTTAGATCACTTGATAAGAAAGTTCGTAGTATTTGCGATAAATGTAACAATTTTGTATGCTGTACACACAGCAAAATTCTTTGTGAACACTGTGCAAAGTAAACCATACATGCTTATATATATACATATAACTACATATATATATAAATATATATATATATATATATATATAAATATATATATATTTAAATATATATATATATATATATATATATATATATATATATATATATATGTATATGTATATATATATATATATATATATATATATATATATACATATAACTATATAACTATATATATATATATATATATATATATATATATATATATATATATATATATATATATATATATATATCGGCATCTAATAAGTTCGAATTAAAACTTAAAAAAAGGATGTTCATAGAATGTTTAAAACCTGGTTTGAACAAACAGGTCAACTATGTCCAAATGACACATTCTGTTTAGTTATTTCTTTCTATGTAATTTTTTATTAACCTATTATTTCGTTTCTTCCTATTGGTTTTTTTGTATGACTTGTTATTCTTATAATAGATTTTGTTGTATTTTTGTAATTAATTTAAGAGTTTGTACATAGATTATTACATTTTGTATTGGTAATGTAAAAATCACCTATATAGGTAAAATGTATGTATATACATATACATGCATTTTATGGACATATATATGTGTGTGTCTGCATAATAGATACATATATGTATATATACATATATAAGTTTGTATTATGTATATACAAGGTCACGCGGTTCCCAATATATATATATATATATATATATATATATATATATATATATATATATATATATATATATATATATATATATATATATGTATGTATGCATGTATGTATGTATGTATGTATGTATGTATGTATGTATGTATGTATGTATGTATGTATGTATGTATGTATGTATGTATGTATGTATGTATGTATGTATGTATGTATGTATGTATGTATGTATGTATGTATGTATGTATGTATGTGTGTATGTATGTATGTATGTACTTATGTATGTATGTATGTATGTATGTATGTATGTATGTATGTATGTATGTATGTATGTATGTATGTATGTATGTATGTATGTATGTATGTATGTATGTATGTATGTATGTATGTATGTATGTATGTATGGTATATATGTGTGCGTGTGTTTATGTATATACTTATAAATGTATGTGTGTGTGTTATATATTTGTATACATATGTGTGTGTGCATTATAAAATGAGGGGATGGGGTTAGGGGGTGAAGATTTAATTCTAAAACTATATAATTGGAGAAAACAATAGAATTATCAGGTAGAACTCCTAAGGTCAGCTCAAACAACTAGAAAGAAAAATTTCAAAACTATAAACATGTCATGTTGCTAAACTATGTTTTATAGTGATTATATATTTTTTATATTGAGATGCTCTTTTTTTCTTTGCAACAACAGACTACATAAAATAATTTACCTTTATACAGATTTCAGTATTAACCAACAGGGAAAGTAAACAGTGTTAAAGAAAAAACAAATAATTAGTTGCTAGTGTAAATTTTATTTATTTATTCAAATATAAAATTATTAGTTTTTTATATCTATTACAATATTAGCGTTTTTAAATCAAGTAAAGATTGTAAATTTATTGCAAATTTAGCATAAAATGTTTTATTTTTTATGAAGAATAAAAAATTGAATCCACTTAGCTGAACCAACTACCAAAAAAATTAAAATCTTAATTAATTGAAACAAAAAAAAAAAAAAAAAAAAAAACTAATTATATCGCTCAAATAATCAGCAAAAGTATTTCAAAAATAGTAAACAAATCACACAAAAATTCACTTTTTTGTATTTATTTTTTTCATAATGAAACTTTTCTTATTAGTTAAATATAAAATAATTAGTTAAATAATAATTTACGTAATTAATTTATATATAAACTTAAGCACGATCTCTATTCAGAACTTTTTGCACTTTGGAGGAGCAGAAAAGTTATTGAGCATGGGCAAAAAGTTCTGATTGGAGAACGGGCTTAAAAAAACTGTTTGCGCAAGCTCAAAGAACTTTTCTGCTTCTCCAAAGCGCAAAAATTTTCTGAATGGAGAACGGGCTTTACTTAACTCAATAAATAATTAGAAACCTATATTATGACCTAGAATATACAAGTAAGTGGTTTTTTAATTACATTTTTTGTGTTGCTGAGGGCCCGCAGCCATTTTTTATTTTCTCAAGTTTACAAAATCCCACTGCGCTTCCGTATAATAACTTAATAATAACCGTATAATAACTAATGTCTAAACTTCAGTGTAAAGGTGAGTTTCCACTGGAAAGAGAAAAGAGAAATAATAACGTGGGCATGCGTAGTATAATTTAAATTTAGATTTCAGATTTTGTTTGTTATTGGCAATAACAAACAAAATCTAAAATCTTTTACAATAATAAAATTTATCATATTTTATTATTATTATTATTATTATTATTATTATTATTATTATTATTATTATTATTATTATTATTATTATTATTAGATGATTTAAAGTTAGAGTCGTTCATAAATTACACGGTGATTCAATTCTTATTAAAACTTGGAATGTTATTATGCGCATGCGTTAACAGCAAATTGATAAATATCATTTTTTTGATAAACCGTGTTAAGCTTTTATTATATCGTTGTTAATCAGATTGTTTTTTTTGCTTGTTTGTTTTACTTTGGTAATTATACCGAGTGAAAAGAAGCAAAACAAGTTATATTTTAACTTGATAACGTGTAGTTTTTAATAGAATTCAAATTATTAAGCTCACATTACTGTGATTAATAAAGCTTTGTTATTAGCCAATTTAACACATTCAATTCAGTCATATTTTAGGAGAACTAAAATTTTTGTAACATTTTGGAAAGTTGTTAGTAATAGTCATTCTTTTTATCTTTTCAAAAATAATAATCCTTTTTACCAGTCATTTTTTTATAAATTATTACAATTATTTTAAATAGGGTGTATTTTTCAAAAATATCTCCGTAAGTTATGGCATGTAATCATCAAGAAAAATTATCAAGATTATGTAGAATTTGTAGAAATATATTAGGAAAAGACAGTTTAAAAACTGATTCTAAAATTGATCGAATATATAAAGTGTTTAGTATAAATATATCAGAAGATTCTCAATATATTCATCCAAAGAAAATGTGCATGAGATGTTATACTAATCTTAGAAACATCGAAAATAGAGGTAATAAAGTTTTTAAAACTCCAAAAATTTGGTTAAAATGTCCTTCAATTGAATGCAAATGTATTTTTGGCATTCTTGGTCGAAAACCAATATCCAATAGAGGACGACCAGGAAAGGTTAAAAAATGGACACAGTTTTAATTAGAATCATTTCTTGATTCATTACCTATGCCTAAAGATAGAAAAAATTTTCTAGAACTAAACCATATTCTAAATCCACATATAAATTTATGCATTTGTAAAATTTGTGGAGAAGTTATGAATCAGCCTGTGATGCTGAAAAATTGTCAACATTCATTTTGTAGTTCATGCATTTTGTCAAATGTTAAGGATAAATTTGAATGTGATTCAAACTGTCCGTTATGTAAAACCAACATCACAATTGATAGCCTTACCTATTCCATCCATATATCTGAAATCTTAGATTATTTAACTATTGTTTGCAAGATTTGTAACAAAAATGTACTTTTAAAAGATATTAATTGTGAAAATCATGACTGCAAAAAATTATTAAACAACACTATAGATGAAAGCAAAAAAATAGTTAGTATAAATAATTTTTACCAAGTCACTGACTCAAGTGAAATCACACGAGAGGTTGAAGATGCTGTTTTACATGTCATTAAAAAAAAACTGAATCAGTCTAAAACATCCATAATAGAATTTTCATCTGGTGGACCTAGGGTAAGAAATAAGTTTTTATTTTATAATAAGTTAAATAGTATTAAAGCAACTATAAGAATTAGAATATTATTATTATTATAAGAATTAGATTATTATTCTAATTTTAGATAAACTTTTTTGTTCTTAAAAATTTTAGTATTGAATTTTTGTTTTATAAAGTCATGTTTTGGTAATTTTACAGCCACTTTGTTTTGTTTTTGCTCCAAAAGTTTATGTAGAAAGTGCACACTGTAGTAATAAGACCTTAAGTAAAAGGCAGAAACATTTAATGCAACAAGTTAATCATACTGCTGGTTGTTCACAGGAATCTAAAATTTGTCAAACATCTGTAATGTTAAAGTCATATGATAAAGATGAAGCAAATGAAATGTTAAAAAAAGCAAATATTGGAACTATGGATTTAAATGCAAGAGAAATGGTTGCTCTAAAAGCTGATATGGGTATTCCATGGAATAAATTAAAAACTATGGCTAGGTAAAAGTAAAATGTAAAATTTATAATAGTTTATGTAGCCTAATATTTTTATTTTGAAAATCTACTAATCTTTTAGTTTAATAAAGTTTTTCAAAATTACAAGTTAATTTTTATAATTGTTCGTTATTAAATAAAGTTAAAGATTTACATTAAACATTTTATTTGTGTAACTTATTTTTTATATGGAATGTTGTAGGTGGTTAAATTCCAAAAATATTACCACTGCTTCAAATAACAAAGATTTGTTGCAAAAGAATGGGCTGGAATTGATATAGTTGTTTTAAATGGACCATTTACATTTCAAAATGAAAATAATCATGATGTTTATGAAATTAAACTAGCTCATTGGGCATATATCAAGAACCTACCTAACAATATAGAGAATCTACTGAATCTTCTTGAAAAGTAATAAGTTAGTAATCTTATATAAGTGAATGTTTGTTTCTAAAAATTACTAAAAAATTTAATTATTAATTAACAGAAGTAGATAAGGAAACTTTAATTGATCTTCCTTCTGTTTTATTTAGCATTTATAAACTTAAATGCAAATTTAAATTCAAATTTATATATTTTAAGGTTTAACCTTATTAATCATGATGGGATTAAAAAAGATGAAATACATATAAAAATTGGTGGTGATCATGGAGGTGGTTCTTTTAAAATGAGCTACCAAATTGTTAATCAAAATCAGTCTAACTCAAAATCAAATAGTTTTGTGTTTAGTACTTTTTAAACAAAAGACTATTGCACTAATCTGAAAGTTGGACTATCTAGATATAAACAACAAGTTGATGAGATGCAAAAAATGAATTGGAAGTAAGATAAGTCACGACTTTTACTGTTGAAATTTGTTCTGGAAAATAAGAAATAAGTTTTCTGAATGTTAAAATTAATTCGTGCCATTGTGCCAAAATTATAATATTACTTTGTAGTTAGTTATATGTAAAAGTTGTAATATTTTTATCCTGATTTGTTATAGAAATCATCATTTTCGTGTCTTTATGTTTGGAGACTATGATTTTCTGTGGAGCGTATACGAAATCACTGGAGCTAAAGGTCAAATTTTTTTCTTTGAAATAAAGAAAGATTTTTTAAAAATTTAGGACTTAGAGAATCTATTTTCAGATTGAAAGAGGCTTTTTTAGAATCAGCAGTACAAAAAACTAATTTTTTGTACTGCTTATTTAAAAATAAAGTTTTGTATTGCTTACTATTTTACAGGTCGGCATTGCCGTCTCTTTTGTGATATAACTAAGGAAGAGATGAAAATAATTCCAACAAGTCGAATACATATTGTTTCACATAGAACACTTAATTCTTTAAGTGATAACTTTGAATCTTTCCAGAATTCTGGAGGAATTTTAAAGAGTGCAAAGTATTTCAATAATGTTATTGATCAATCTTTGTTTAACATTCCTTTGGATCAAGTAAATTAGTTCTGGTTTATTTTATTAATGCTGCTATATCAATAAAATTATCACAGTTGTTTTATTTATTTTTACAGATTGCTGTGCCTGCATTACATATATCACTCGGTATCTATTTGAAATTTTTCGTTATGTTAGAAGATGAGTGTCATTTAGTTGATATAAAACTTGCTGGAGAACTTGCATTAAGAAATAAAATTATTGGTAAAACTGAATTTGAAAAGTACATTACCATGCATGTCCAGTCAAATCTTTTAAATAGCATTATTGCAGATTGCCTATAAAAAATTGCTCTTCTACAAGATACAGTTGGATTAAAAGTATTGCGTGAACCTGAAAGAGCTAAAGATATTTTGAAAATTTATAAGCCAAGAATACTTTACTATGAATTGAGAAAAAATGACAAAGTAATATTCAACAAAAAATAATAAGTAATTATTAATTTTGTTCATAAATTTTGTTCATAAATTTGTTTATACCTCTTTTTTTTAAGTCAAGTTAAAAATAATTTTTTTTTATCTAATAAAATATATTTACAAAGTATGAAAAATGTTTAGTTAATAGAATTTTTTTGACATATATATATATATATATATATATATATATATATATATATATATATATATATACATATATATATATATATATATATATATATATATATATATATATATATATATATATATATATATATATATATATATATATATATATATATATATATATATATATATATTTATATATGTTTTTAGCATCAACCATTACTTGACTTATGCAATTCAATTCCTAAGCTAGTTGTAGACCTTGGCTTTATAGATACTGATGTTCACTTATTATCTATTGATGTGAGCTAAAAATTTAAAAAGTTTTTTTCTTATTATTTTAAGTGTCATAACATTATGAACAGCTCACATTCTTTTGAAGATTATGATGTTCAGGAACTTGGTAAATAATTCACTAACTTCAATTTTATTCTTGCAGAAAGCTATGTGCATAACTATATTATTAAAACTGTTTAGTTGTTTTCACAATTTGATATTACTGAACATTATTTTTTCAGCATTATGTATTGTATATTAGAATTATCTTATCAATTTTTTAGAATTAGCAATCAAAAACTTGATGGAATTTTATAGAATGACATGGCCAGAAGCTACTATAACACCAAAAATGCATTTACTTGAAAGCCACGTATCTCAGTTCATTGAAAAATGGAGATTAGGAATAGGAGTTTATGGTGAACAAGGTGGTGAAAGTTTGCACGCCGAGTTCAACAATCTGAATAGATTATTTTGGCATATGAAGGGATGTAGCCGACTTGAAAGCACTATCAAAGAACATTTTCTAAGAAATCACCCTAAGGCGAAAGGTATGAAGCCAGTCGTAAAAAAAAGGAAAAAGAATTAATAAACATTTTGCTAATTTTACATATTATAATATTTGTTATATTTTAAAATATAAAAGATTAACACAAATCGGCATAGCATGCCTCGCATTTTAAAATGTCTTTTTTATTTCAGCCTTAAGCAATGTAGGTTTATTAAAATCGTGCTTCTTATTATTAAAGTTATTTAAAATTTTTATTCAAAATGAAAACTTTATATATGATGAACCGGAATATATACACCCAACACTAGAATTTAGGGGATGCCAGAGTTGTTAATAGGGCCAAAAGTAGCAAGGCCAAGACCAAGGCCACTTGTTACAAGGCCAAGGCCAAGACCAAAAGTTACAAGGACAAGAACAAGAATAAGACTTTCATGGTCAACGTCTACGCAAAAATTTTTAGGTCAATGACTTATAACTTTGTCTTACGTAAATGAAGTAATTATGTAAAAATATAGAATGATTAGTTATGTAATTAATTACGTAAAATAAAGAGTGAGAACTTTTAATTCTTTAATTTTATGTACTTTATTATAAAGGCCAGGGCCAAAACAATCAAGGTCAAGGCCTAAAATTCAAGGCCAACGCCAAAAGTTTCAAGGACAAAGCCTTAATTCTTGGCCTTAAGGCCAAGGATTAAGAACTCTGGGGGATGCTATTTATAACAACATCTCTAAATTGAAACGAATAATTAATAATGAAATATAAAATATATCTCTTCTTTTTAGCCTAACATTATATAAATTATCTCGATTTAAAAAAATGACTGGATAAAATGAATAACGTATAAATTTTCCTTGCATTACCTAGATTAAGAATATATTTAACTTTTTATCCCAAAAATTTTCAATTAAAAGTTATCTTATTATGATTAAGGCGATGCTTTATTTTTTTCGCTTAAAAAGTGAGTTATTTTAAACAGAAAATGTTGTTTCTTTACAACTGAAGGTTTCTTAATTTCTTTTTTTATTGTATAGCTTTTAAAATATATAACTTGAAAATTAATTTTATTTTTTTGTTTGCGAAGACTAAATACATATAAAAATACGAAATTACCAACTAAAATTAATAACCTTTACGGAAAAAAAGCCGCCATTTTTATTTTTGTATTTAAAAACGCTAATTTAATGCGCATGCTCACAATAACATTCCACGCTTAAATCACCGTAATTACGTCAAGCTTTAAGAGGAGCGTGGGGAGATTTTGTGACGATTTGTTACAAGGGGGAGAAGGGGGTGTCGATTTTGTGACATAACATTTTTTTTATAATTAGTTTTAAATCTAAAGAAGATTTTCTTTTTATTAAAAGATTATCTGACTTAACCAAACTCCTCAGTTGATGTATCTACATGTTGTTTGAAAAATCAACTACGCCTAAATCTTATTTAGTCGACGTGTACACTCCGTTAACGGTGTAGTTACAGCCTGTTAACGGACTGTTACGGCTGTAAAATTTATGTGCTGTGCACGTTCTTCGTTTTGACTTTATATGGTCTAAGTGCAGAATTTATTGAGTTGATGCACAAAAAAGTGCAGCTACAAAAAAAAAAAAAAAACAAGCTTTGTTCTCTAACTAAAAAAAATAAAAATAAAAAATTTTTATACCGAGAGAAAACCTGCAAGTTAGAAGAAAATTGAATTTATAAAATAATATTTTTGCATTTATATATATATATATATATATATATATATATATATATATATATATATATATATATATATATATATATATATATATATATATATATATATATATATATATATATATATATATATATATATAATATTTAGCATGTATTATATATCAGAAGAATAGGTTTTTAAAATTGGTATTGTGTTTAGGATAGCATTTAGGATATATTAATTTTACACAATTTTACATGGAACTATTGGGGTGAAGAAAAACATTAAAGAGACTGAAAAGTACGAATTAATTAACTCAAAGAAGCTCAGAGAATGATTAACGTTATTGTATTTAAAATCGTTCGGTATTTTTTAAAATTCTGAACCCCCTGAAAAACTAAAATTTTACATGGAACTATTGGGGTGAAGAAAAACATTAAACAGACTGAAAAGTACGAACTAATTAACTCAAAGAAGCTCAGAGAATGATTAATGTTCTTGTATTTAAAATCGTTCGGTATTTTTTAAAATTCTGAACCCCCCTGAAAAACTAAAATTTTTTTAGGGGGGTTGGAGAAATTTACAAAATTGTTGCGTAATATTGTGGGGGGGGGGGGGGGAAGTTAAGATGCCTCGTTTTTCCCAGGTTGTTTTAAGTCAAACCATTATTTTATACTTTTTTTTTTTTTACTTTTTATTTAATCTACCATTTTTGCTTACTATCTTTATATTCATTATTAATACCTTACCAGTCTATTTATTTATGCAATAATTCTGTTATTAGTGAATTTTTTTATTTTAATACGTAACTAAAGAAACCATGGTAAATTAGTAGCAATAAAAGACTTAAAACTAATGCTTTTTATTGTTATTACCATATTTTCATTATATTTTGTTGTCATGATGTTATTATGTAATATGTTAAACAGAGTGGTACAAAAGTTAGTTTAGCCTTTAAAAAAAAAAAATCTTTTTTTTATTATTCTTTTTTTTTTCAGGATCATCAACTAAAATTTTTGAAAATCAAACAGTGAACAAATTTACAACCAAAAAAAGAGTGAAGGTATTTGAATTTCAAACGCCAGTTAATTGTATTGTAGACATACTTTACGCTTTATTTCAATGATAGGTATAGCTTGGTATAGCAATTTTTTAAAGCAAGATCTGGACGAGATCTATCTTCAACATCAAATGCGTGGGTTCTAACTAAAATGATTCAATGACGTTTGCAAGAACTTGGAATCTCACAGATGTTGTTGCAGCCAATTTAAAAAACCTTTAACATGTATCCATACAAGGCTCAGCTGATGCAATTTTTGCAACCATTAAAATTTCAACATCGGAAAAAATACGCTGCTATGTTTCTGGATGTTGCAAGATATATTACTTCTTTCACAACTTTATCATGGGAAATGAGGCCAATTTTCATTTGGACAAATAAACAAAAAACGAGATTTTGAGATACTGATAATTCACTTAAAGTTAATGTAAATCAACTACACCCACATAAGGTTACAGCACGGTGTGGAGTAACCTCAGAAAAGATTATTGGACCTCACTCCGTTAAGGAACCTCATGAAAATGCGTTAATGTAATTAGCAAGCGACAGAAAAAAAATTTGGTAAATTTTGTTCAGCTTAAGATGAGCAAACATGGCTGGGTAATGGTGACAGAAAAATGATGTAACTCGGCTGCTAACGATTGCAGCTAACGATTTTAGTCATTTTAGCTGCAATGTTTCATGATTAATAATTTTTCGAAGTTTCAATTTTTTATGGTCTTCACAATTAACTTATTTGATATCAACAGACTTTTTTCCTAAAAGATTTCCTAATAAAAAGTATAAAATATACTAAATACTAAATATTAACTAAATAATATTAAGTATTTTTGTAAAAAATGGAAGCTGAACAAAATAGCATTCTTATTTATAAAAAAAGACATCTGCTCGTTAAATACTTTTAAATAATAAGTTCCGAACTGTTGTGGGAAGTAAGAGAAATTATAATGAATCTGTTTTGTTTGCGTTATTTATGTTAGTTCTGAAAAAATATCGAGTTAAAATAAAATAATTCTAACCTGATTATATACATATATACATACATATATATATATATATATATATATATATATATATATATATATATATATATATATATATATATATATATATATATATATATATATATATACATATCGCGACGTTAGAATTATCTTGTGCTATCTCCAATTTTTGAAAAAATTGAGATTTTATTATTTTCGAATATTTTAGCATTGTGTTGTTCTACTTTAATTATATTGAAAAAAAATGAAACTTTTAACACGGTATTGCATGCAATATTGCATTGTTCTATCTCCTTAATAAGCAAACTTGAAAATATTATCTTGTTCTATCTCCAATCAACCAATCATATTACAATTACAAAGTTGTTCGGAATAATTTTATCAGTTTTGTTGTTTTCAAAATGGCAACTGCAAATATTGACCAAGAAATGGAACCTGCCCTAAATCAAAACGAAGGTAGTTTTTCAACTTAGTTAGTATTATAATTTTGGAAAAGAAAAATTCGACTTTCGCTTGTGCCATTTTAGATTAAATTTAAAAGTTATTATTTATACATCCTGGATAATAAAAAATTAATATTTTAATCGTTAGAGCTGCTTGGCATTACACCTTCTCATCGGTCGCCCCATGGTGGGGTTTCTAGGAAACGTAAAGCTGATAGGAGTAGTTGGAAACAAAGTGTAAGAAAAATCCAACGTCAGTCGGGTAAAGCTTATAAAAATACGAAAGGAGAACAAATGCCAAAAAGATCTATTGTTGCACTAAAAAGTTGCAGAAATTGTAAATTTAAATGTTCTACCAATATATCTGAGATTGAGCGTCAAATAATATTTGATAACTTTTGGACCTTAGATGATGACGGAAAAAAACATTTCTATTCTAAAACTACTGAAAATCTGGAGAAAAAACGCTGTCGGACAGCTGCTGGTGACAATTCAAGAAGAAAAACATCTTATTATTATAGCTTTTTTGTTTCTAATACACAATATAGAATTTGTAAATCATATTATCTTTCAACATTGAATATTAGCAGCCATAGAGTGTTTTACTTTCATAAGTTTAATAAATCTTTAACTACTGGAACACCATTGCAATCAAAATCAGGGAAACATATTAAAAAAAGGTTACTAGAAGAGTCTAAACAAGTTGTACGAGACCATATTAACCTTTTCCCAAGAATTGATGCTCATTATAGCAGGAAAAAGACACATAAAGAATACATGGAAGGATCACTAAATATAGGTAGAATGTATGATCTTTATAAAATATATTGTGATAAAAATGTCTCTCCTCCAGCAAAAGAACATATGTATCGTTATATCTTTAATCACGAGTTCAATTTAGAATTTCAAAAACCGAAGAAAGATTTATGTGACACATGCTATGAGTATCGCAACATTGTTAATGCAAACAATGAACAAACAGATAGTTATAATAAGCACATAAAATCAAGGAATGATACCAAAACTGAACGTGAAAATGATCGCCAAAATGTTGATTCTAAAACTGCAATTGTTTGTATTGACCTTGAAAATGTTTTAAATTTGCCTAGAGCTAATGTGGGAAACTTTTATTACAAACGAAAACTTTCAAATTATAACTTAACTGGTCATTGCTCGCTTAACAGGAAGGGTTATTGCATGCTTTGGCACGAAGCCATGACTGGTCGTGGAGGAAATGATCTAGCCAGTGCTGTAACATGTTTGCTTTTGAAAATCATGGCTGACCTTGACATAAATAAGTTCATACTTTGGTTCGATTCATGTGTACCACAAAACCGCAATAGTTTCATGTCAGCAGCTTTGTGTGAATTTATAATACGATACCCACAAATAAAAGTAATTGAACAGAAGTTCTGCGAGCCAGGTCATTCCAGCATTCAAGAATGTGACAACATTCATAGTCAGATTGAAAAATCCCTCTCTGCTGCAGAAATATTTAGTCCACTTGGGCTAGAAAGAGCTATTAAAAATGTAAACCGTAAAAAACCTTTCTGTGTTTACCAAATGCAATTAGGAGATGTAAAGAATTTTTCAGTTGTCGCTGGTTTGTCAAGTTATAAGTTAGTGCCTTATTCAAAGGTTAAAAATCTTGTTTATCGAAATGGACTGCCATACCTTGTTTTTTTTAAAACCTCGTTTTCAGATAAGTATTCACAAGCTCGTATAAATAAGTCTGTCAAGAAAGCAGCATCAACCATTGTTGCAAAACCATTAAATACCAATATAACAATGGCAGCTTGCTTTCGTGCTTCTTATCAGTCTATATCTGTTGCAAAAGCCAATGATATCATTTCCATGTATTCATACATGCCTGCTGTTGATATTGCATTTTATAAAACAATAATAAATTGAACATTTACAAAACATTAATAAAGTCAAAATATTTTTAGGGTTGTTATATGTTTAGTATAAATATAAATAACATATTTATATATATATATAATAATATAAATAATATACATATAAATAACATATTTAAATAAAATATTTATTTAGTATAAATATAAATATAAAACACATTGAAATAATATTATTTTGAAATCTTGATAAAAATTTTTGTTTACCTTGTGTTTTTTTTGTTTGTTTTTTTGTACTTTTATATTCATTTTCCCCCACTTGTTTGGTTTGGATGGTTTTCCATAGTGACATAAAGGCCACTATGAAAGAGTTAAAGCAATGTTTCACAACCTGATGCCCTTCCTGACGTTAACTTGAGTAACAATTTTTTATTTGTAAATATTTGCAATAACTTTTAATAAAAAGTTAAACTCTATTAATGGATACACAGGCATAAGAAAAATAAAATCAAGTTCATCTTGCATGGAGTTTGTGATTAGATTAGTTTAATTGTTGTGAATTATCAGATAGTTACATAATGTTATTTCTTTTATTATTACATTTTTTTTAACATAACTCTTTCCTATATACCTTTCATAATTTATTTTATACGTTTATATTATATTAATACGTTTATATTATTATTACGCAGCCAAATTTTCCGTTTTAAATTAGACGTCTTAGTCTTGTCCAGGGCCGGCGCCTACAGGTAATTAAAGTAAATGTAAGTCGTAAGAACAGTGTCGTTAGAGGCTCTTCTAAAAGTTCTCCTAATTAGGGCCTCATTTTATTTAAAAAAACTTAATTTTTTAGGTAATACAAAAAGCGTCTTATATTTTGAAAAGGGTCCCGTTAAATTAGGGGCCCATGCCCCTAATTTAGGGGCCCATGCCCATAAATTAGAAGTGTATGGTACTGCGTAAGAATAATTAGCAGGTAGAACAAAATTTCATCAATTTCTAACATGTCGTTGTTGAAAAATGTACTTAATATGTTTAATATATATGATGTAACAACATAATATTTTTGAATTTTACTAAAAACCAAAGTTATTTTGTTCTATCTCCAAAAGAGGGTGCAAAAAAAAGGGCGTTAGCGTAATTTTAAAAAGTTTTTTTTATCTAAAAATTAATAATAAAACATTTTTAAATCTTAGGAAATACCTAAATTCTCAAAATATTTTTTCAATTTAGCTGCGTACAAATTCAAACTTTGACATTGATTTTCTCAGTTTGCAAAAACATGGAGATAGCACAAGATAATTCTAACGTCGCGATATACATATTTTTTTTTCTTAATTCACCTCCCCAAGGCTGAAAAGGCCACTACAGTGAGGAGACTACTTTAGTTGTGATTAGAACTCTCTCAAAACTCTATAACTCCGAATCTTGACGAAGAATGCCGCTGCGCGGAGAAACAAGTTGATTTCAATATATATATATATATATATATATATATATATATATATATATATATATATATATATATATATATATATATATATATATATGTATATTTATGAAAATATAGTTAGTACCATAAATATTTATATTGTTTATCTTTTTTATAAAAAAATCTACGATTACATTCCATTTTGATATAATATATATTTTATAAATTATTCATTTCTTTTACTAAATATGTATTTGAGTTTATTTAAAATATTAAAAAGAAAAACTGTTTCTGTTGACATTCTTTTGATTAATTGCTGTTTTCATATTTTGCTAACTCATTTGTCGTATTCCAAAAGTTTTTCATGTGTTTTGATAGATGTTATTAAAATATTTGTTTCTTTTATTAAAAAAAAAATACTTTACTATTTACGACAACTTTAAAGTAGTTATTTCATAATATCTTTTAAATTATGAGTTGAAAAAGTTGTTGAACAACTACTGTATTGATAGACCGACTAGGTTAATATGATCGGTATTTTTAACTTTTTTAATACAGTTCATTTGATGAACTTCAGCGTTTATGCACCGAATATCAGCTTCGCTTGAAGACTTTTTAATGTCATTTGTTTTGAGTGATAACTTTTGTTTGTGCTTCGGTAAACATTTTGGTTCCTTTAGTTTAAGGCTACTTTTTTTTTTAACAATATTTGTTTGCTCATGGCATTGATTACTGGCTTCAATCTTTATACCTTTGTGCTCATTTTTACAATCCTCAATTTTTATTTTTTTAATAATTTCCTGATTAAAACAGTTTGTTGTCAACGAATTATTTACGTTAACTATTGTATTTATATTTGTTTTTTTAGAGCGAATTCTACCAATTGTCATGTTTTTACCACCTAAAGTGTCAATGTTCATAGCCATTTCGACTAAAATCTTTAAATCTGAGTGTGAACATACATCAACAGGTAAAAGACCTGCATTATTTCTTGAGTACAAATTTGCACAGTTTAATATTAAATATCTTGTAATGTTAATATGACCGTAAAGACAAGAGTAATGCAATGACGTGTTCCCATTTAAGTCAGTTGACTCAATGCGCGCTCCTTGCTCTACAAGCAAACGCACAATATCCAAACATCCTTTTTCACAGCATTCGTGTAAAAGTGTTTTACCTTCACTGTTACGGTGTTCAAAGTCTACTTTTAATCTGTGATAATGTAGAATTACTTTTATTTGCGTTACGTCATTTTCATTTATTGCTTTATGTAATTGCCGTCTTATAGCCAACATTATCAATTTTTACATTAACAAATTAATCAAGTAGAATTTATCTTTCTTAATATCTTGACCTGATACACGTCATTATTTTACACCTAAACTCCTTAATATGTACACAAGTAAAAGCATTTTAAAAACACTTAGTTTAGGAAAAGTGTCCAACATTTTGTCGGGAAGTTGATCAATGGACGCTAAGGCCAACCGTTAATAATTTATTTTTTACTTCATTGAAATAGTTGGTAAATAATTAACTGTTTAAAAAATAAATGAACTTCAAGCTGGGATAATAAAAAGTGTTGCAAGATTTTTTTGTATAATTTTCTATGAATCCTTAATGAATCCTTTATGGAAAATCTAATTGTTTAGCAGAAATATCTCTTATATTACTGGAGCCATAAATTCCTAAAAATTTCAAAAACATAGAAAACAATAATAGTTTCAATTTCAAAATTTTAATTTTTGTATAATAATGATAAAAATAGTCAACACTTTAAAAATAAGAAACAAAACGTGGTCGCACTTTGTTTTGTTGCCTAAGCAACAAAATTGCTGCTCGAGCTGTAATAACTTTTACTTTTCATTTAACCGATAGCCAACCATTTTACTTTGCATTAAGCCAGATAGCCGACCAATTCTTAACGAAAAAAACATATATTTAAATTATAATTTAAAGCGTCAAAAACTGTTTGATTTTTATTTGTATTATAAAAGCGCAATTATGAATTATAACTCAGTATTCAAATAAAAATATAAAATTTATATATAATAAATATGAAAAAGTGTTATAATTTCAGTTAGCATTTTATGTTATTTTTATTCTATTCACTTCGCTTTCATGTTTGATACAACGAGTATGTTAAGTGGTATTCATAGAAATTATTTAAATAGTAACTTTTTTGTAAAATATATAAAATTTATTGGTTAATGTTTTTAAAGGAAATTAACTTTTTAAAATTTTTTTTTAGGTGAGTTTAAAAGAAAAAAACGTTTGCGAAGCAACTTTTGATCGACCTTGGAGTTTTGGACGCATGCGGGGATCGGATCCGTTTTAACTTATATAAGCTGTTTGTTCATATAATACCTATATGTTGCTAATATTAATATATTATCAACAAATAGGTAATTATTAATAAGAAATAATAAAAAAATTAACGAAAAAGAACTTTATAATGTTTAATTAACCACTGTACCGCACAATTTTGTAACTCAATAAGTTAATAAAGTTTAAATAAAATGAATTTGTTTTGACCAAGGACGTATTAATAGATTGACGTTTAACCCATTGTTATAGATCTGAGGCGCCGCAAGTAATGCGAGCTATAATTTTTAGCGTCATTTTTCTGAGTAATTTATAAAAGAAAACCGACGTTTTTCCGATAATTTCGCTTTTCTAACTACTTTTTTTAAAAAGTACAATTACCTACCAAACTCTAACATTTTTTAAAAATTAATGCATAATAGTTATACAGAAATAGCTCATCTGTTTTAAAATGTCAAATTTGAGACGTGAGCGCTTTTTAATAAGAACTTATTATTAATAAAACTTAAACGTCAAAAATCATATTTTTGTAAAAAAGTGATATTTAGTTTGCAAGAATGAATACTTCTAAGTGAAACGAATTTTCTATATGTTGTAGGTAAAACTCTAGATCATATATAGATCGAACTATAGATTACTTGTGGTCTCTATTCCCTACACTTAATTTTCACTATTATTTTAAGTATTTAAATTTCTCATTTTTGTCGGAAATTTTGTCTCACTAAAAATTTTGTTTTAATATTTTTCTGTGATTAACTTTTTTTCTCCATATAAAGATTTCGCTTGAGTTTATAGATCATATAATGAAAAGGTTTTATTTATTTAAAAACTTTTTAGATTTTTAAGGTGTAATGGAATGTTTAAATATTTCTAAGGCTAGACGAGACTATCGTTATTTTGACGTAAAATCAAGTAAAAATATTCTCAAGTTAAAAATAGTTCTCTATTGTTTTGCTATTGTTATTTGTAACAATGAATAGCGCGGATATCTTGGGTTTTAAACAATACGTTAAACGTCCATCTATTAATACGTCCTTGTTTTGACACATATTTTTTAACTAATTAACGCGCTTTAAAATAAAATAACTTGCGCGAAAGCGTTACGTCAAAGTTACGCCAGTACAGTTACGTCGTAAAGTTACACCAGTGACCTGGGTAAAAAAAAAAAATATAGACATGAAATGGAATTATGAAATATGCATGAACATAAATGTAAAAAAAAAAAGAAATTGGATGCAATTGTACATCACCTTTTCAGTTATATCCTTTTTTAACTATAAAAAAAATCTCTTTTTTAACGTCAATATCGGGTCAACTTGTTAACCGCCTAAAAAGCGCTCCTAGACACGGCTGTTTTAAAGTTAGCTTGACGGCTAACTTTAAAACAGCCGTGTCTAGGAGCGCTTTTTAAGTCAAGTTTTTTTTTAAATAGTCAAGTTTTTTTTTAAATAGTCACTTAATAGGTGTTACTAAATCTTTTTAAACCTTTAAAATAATAGAGATGATTTGGTTCTGCAAAAAGAATATAAACAACTATAAAATGTTTTTCCAAAAGACATTAAATGAATTATTTAAAATTTTCTTCGATTTCGGATAAAACGCGCCAAAAGATGAGCTTGGCTAAGTTTTAGTAACTTGTTGTCACTTTTTATAACAAAAAATTGAAAAAGCATATTTTAGATATTTATTATTAAATATACATATTGTAAGATCACATTAACTTAAAAAGAAATTTATTTAAACCTGATTCTAAACTGAAACAGGCAAATATTATAATAATCGATTAAACAAAATAACACATAACAAAAACAACGTGTTTTTGCAGCGTTAAAAATTTAGAGTAAAAACTGTTTAAACATTAACTTTTTAGTATATTTTATTTATTTTTCTTGAAAAAATAATTCATTTTTTATATAATATGGCTGTTACATTATCAGAAATAACAAAATTGTTTGAAGGCTATAAAAAAAAATTCGAGTTGATGTTAAAACAGCATGAAAAAGTTTTTATCGATATTATTAGTGGAAACCTGAAAATTTTGAATTGGCAGATTAAAAAAGTCGAAAAAGATATAGAAGAATTGAAACATAGCTTAACTTTCATTAACAACTAATCTACGGAAAAGTTAAGAGAGCATATGTTTGCAGTAAAGAAGAAAATGCGAAAATACACTCATACAAAAAAAGTTAAGGGAGATAAAAGATCGATCTCGACGTAATAATTTAAGGATAGATGGAATTAATGAAAACGAATGTGAAAGCTGGGAGGAAAACAAGCTCAAGATAAAAAAAGTTTTTGGAGAATTATTATCTATTAAAAATGTCCAAATTGAACGAGTCCATAGAACTGGAAAAAAAGAATGAAATAAGCCGAGAACAATAGTAAAACTCTTAGATTTTAAAGATAAAGTTGCAATTTTAAACAAGTCAATCAATCTGAATGGAAAAAACATTTATATAAACGAGGATTTTTGTTCTGAAACCAAGAAAATCAGGAAAGGTTTGAAGAAGAAAATGAAGATTGAGCGAGCGGCTGGTAAGTTTGCATACGTATCTTATGATAATTTGATAATTCGCAATTGGGTAGCAAAGAAAAGCAAAAATTCATCTTGATAATATTTTTAATTAATTAACGGAATTTTATTTTCACTATTACTTATTTTCAAATTAAACTGTTTTAAAAATGGAGAAAAATTTCTTAATTAAATTTTCGGATGAAAATAACATTCTCGATGATAACGAGACCGACGCAAATTATTTTAATCACAAAATGTTAGAAAGTAAATATTACTCCGTTTCGGAATGTTCGCTACATCTTAAACAAAATAAAATCATTTTTTCAATTTTAATTATCAATATTCGAAGTTTGAACAAAAATTTTGAAAACTTAAAAATATTATTAAATGAAATTAAACACAACTTTAAAATTATATATGTGACAAAAACTCGGTGTAAAAGTGATGAAACAAATTATATGTGTGACGAAAACTTGGTGTAAAAGTGGTGAAACTTGGTGTAAAGTGGTGAAACTTGGTGTAAAGTGATGAAACTTGGTGTAAAGTGGTGAAACAAATTATGAACTTGAACCAGTAAATTACGCATCAATTCACCAACCACATGAATTAAATGCAGATGGGGACGTTAGTATTTTTATTCACAATTTTACGTAACGCCTCCGTGTTAACGAAAGAAATTGTAAATCATTATGCATTGAATTATTAAATAAAACTGAAAAAAACATAATTATAAATATTATTTATAGACCACCATCTAGTAATATAAAAAAGTTTAAAACTCATCTTAAAACATTTCTAAACAAAATTAAAAATTTGAGGAAATATATTTATTTGGTCTGGGACTTTAACATCAACCTAATCAACTTTGCTTTTAATAATAATGCTAAGAGTTTTATAAATACTCCTCTAGAAAATAACTTCATTCCAACAATAAACAAATCAACAAGAGTTAGAAAAAAGTCTTCTACTCTACTTGATAACATCATAACTAACAACTATTATAATAGGGGAAAGCGGGGCAACATGGCGAACGTTTTGAAAGCCCTGAGTTATTGAAAAACCATAAGTCGTGAAGCCATAATACTTTCTCTGTATGTTTATGCTATTAAGTTTTTTCATTGCCTGCATGAATTTTCAATTTGCAAATATAACAATTTGAAATAAATATTAAAATAAAAAGGTCATAAATTTGTCATCTGGTCACGTGACCGGGGCAAGATGACTTATTATGCAATTTTTACCTCCAATTTTATAAAATTTTAAAAACTGCTAATAACTCTAATTAAAGTAACAAAAAATAAACACAAATTGTAAAAACTACTTCTAAAGAAGTTAAACTTGAGTGACACCAACCCCTATGAGAAACCGAAAGTGAGGAATTTTTTTTTAAGCGCAAAAAGTAAACTTATTTGTATAAAATGGCGTTAATAATATTTCAAAAAACCAATACAAGATGTAAATACAAGATGTATATACAAGATGTAAATACAGTTTTGTTTTCACCCAATTTTAAATTTTTTTGTTGAGTTGTTATATGAAAACCCATCTTGCCCCATTCGCCATGTTGCTCCGCTTTCCCCTATTCCTTTTT